TTTTCCAACCACTACTATTCTGTGATTCTATGAAGAGCAGCTCCTCCTTGGCTCTCCTAGCTTCCTTTACCCCTCTTGGAGCTTTCTACTTGCTACCAACAGTAAGAGGAGAACAAGATCACACAATACTCCAGGTGAGAGATGATTTGGGGCTGTTTGGGGGTTCCTGGCTCACTATCTGCCTGGGCTGAGGGTCTCCCTAGCACCCTGACCACCCTTCTGACCCACTTTCTCATCATAAATCCCCTTCTTCCGGTGTGGTGGAAGGAAAATGGTCTATCTGGGTTCACTCTGCCTGTGCTTGGAGCTGGAAACTACCCAGCTGCACTGGCTGGTGTGCTCAGTCCAGCCTAACACACCCTCCCAAGCTTTCTCCCCTTCATCTGGTAGTAACACCATCAAATCCCCCTTCAGGTGCCCAAAATCTCCTCCATCTGGTAGTAACACCATCAAAACCCCATTGAGGTGCCCAAAATCTCCTTCATCTGGTAGTAACACCATCAAAACCCCATTCAGGTGCCCAAAATAAGCTGGACTCAACCAGATGGGACCTGCTGGATGGTAAAACATAACCAAGTCACTCACCATAGGCAAAAATCAGGTCCATGAGGATGTTGAGGCTGAGCTCAGGGTGTTTCTGGATGAGGTGGTAGGACAAGGCTCGGAGCAGAGGCACGCAGCGTCGGTTCTGGTAAGCTAAAGCCAACGTTATCTTCCGGATGTCATCAGGGTTGAAATGTTCAGCAAGTTCCAGAGCCTGTCAAGAAATGTTTTGAACAGAGATGTAAAGAGAAAACACAAAGCCAGGTGCAGATACAGGATCTCCTGGCTGCTAGTTCTATCTCTCCCAGCCAGCAGGACCTCAATGTCTCCTCCTATCGTGTGTCCAGGCGCCGTAACATGCTCTCAGGTAAAGACTGAGAGAGGAAAGGCACCTGCTGCTGGATCACCACCTGGTTTCCACCATGATTTTGTCTTTATTTGCAGGACACTAAGCCAACAGCCTTAGTTTGAGCTCTGAATAAGCTGACAACATCTTCAGACCCAGCTTCAACATTCTACCTCATCACACGCTGGTGGCTGAAGCATTTATTTCTCCCCAGGGTCGAGGCAAAGGGACAGTGGGGGTGACAAGCTACAGCTGGTGCTGTGGCAGCTGTTTGGCCAGTCCCAGCACAGGCTGGATGAGGACTGAATTTGACACAGGGCTCCTGCCCTGGTTCTGACCTGAAGGACATTTTAACATCTTCACCCATCATCTGGGCGAGGGGA